CTACCCTAAGATAAGGCAGCTGTGAGGCAGCATCACAAATACCTTTGTTGTTTTCAAACAAATGGAAATGTTCAATGAAATAATTCATAAAGTCTAAAATTTGAACATCCTTTTTGGAAGCAAGTAAACCACTGATTGCATGTGAAACTAGTGTTTCAAGTGAAACTTTCTCTGCATCCAATCGGGTAATCAAGCTCTCTTCTTGACTATTTACTTTTAAACATTTAAATGGAAAATCAATTCCTACAGGGAAGTTTATATCACCAGATATAAATCTACGAACATCAGCAATGGCAGAAAACGTACCATCATCTTCCATTGAATGCACACCCTTGAAAATTCTAAGCTTTTGAAACATTTTTACCATATCTGGTTCAATATATGCCAAGGCAAATGCAAACTGAATTAATGATTCTCTTAACGTGAAATTCGATTCAAAAGCAACGTTTAATGTAGACACCGCATTTTCGCCCATCATTTTGTACACTTCACAGAATACATAAATAATATCTTCCTTTGTTGGCCGCTTAACAAATTCTTTAATTGATTCAAATTGTAGCCATTCTGGAAGACTTGGCAGTACCTTTACATTCAATACTTTAAGACAATTCACTAATCCATCATTCAGAATGCATTCTCTAGTAAGTTCATATTCTTTTATAATTATGAAATCAGACAATCTTACCAGTTCAATAACATCTGGATCAGTCCAGTTTCCTTGAGTCAGCATCGGCACTAAAGGTATATCTGTAAAATATTTTACCATTTCTTTGTTGATGAGAACATGCCATACATTTTCCATCCACTGACTTGGAATGCTCATTGTTTTTGTCCATCGGACATTTTGACCAGATCCAAAGTGGAAAAGCAGTGTTTGCATCATTAACGTCTTCGCCAACTTAACATCTAATCTTTGAATTTGGTAGCTTTCTACAATGCATAAATATGACAATTATAAAAATAGAATTATGGTTGGTAATAATAGAAAACTAGAAATGTGTCCATAGGACACGGGTGCCCCCCCCCACTTCACTGTTTTGTCAATCTTATGACTTTAGGTCAAATATTTTAGGCTACATGTGCCACAAGTTGAATACTAAAAATCGTTCACTAAGTCAAGGGCAAGAACTTTACAAATACTGAATAATCCATAAGCAAACCCCAAGGTGCATAAGTACATGGCTGCCAATAATTCCTTTAAACTTTCAGACCTACAGGTCAAATATTTTTTGAGTTATGCATGAATTCGAACAAGTTTAAAAGTGCAAATTTATACTAAGTCAAGGGCAATAACTCTAAAAAAACTGAAAAAAGTCCACATGCAAAACCTCATGTGCATAGCTTCACAGTGATGTTGATCATTATTCCTGTAAAGTTGGTTGATTCTAACTCAAACACTCGAGGAACAAATAACACAACATAATAGAACGGTTTTCACTAAGTCAAGGGCAATTAATCTAACAAAACAGACAAAATCCACAAGTGAAACCCCAGGTGCACAACTGCACATGCTGAGCAACTTTCCTGTAAAGTTTCATGACACTAGATTAAAAACTTTTTTGAGTTATGTGCGACAAAAGTTGAAAAAACGTAAACTGTTACTGATCATACAAAATACTAAACATATCCACATGAAAATACCTAGGTGCACAACTACACATGCTGATCAACATTCCTGTAAAGTTTCATGACTCTAGGTCAATTACATTTTGAGCTACATGTGACACAAATTGAAAACTGCAAATTTTTACAAAGTCAAGGGCAATTACTCTTATAAAACAGAATAAATTCACAAGTAAAACTACACATGCTGAGCAATATTCCTGTAATGTTTCATGACCCTAGGTCAAATACTTTTTGAGCTATGTCCGACATAAGCTGAAAATTGCATATTTTTATTAAGTCAAGGGCAATAAAAAAATAAATCCACAAGAGAAACGCAGGTGCACAACTTCACATGCTGATCAACATTCCTGTCAAGTTTCATGACTCTATGTCAAATACTTTTTTAACTACTTGCGACACAAAAGAGAACGGACGAAAGGACGGACGGACAAGGGTAAATCTAAATACCCCCGCCCCCTAAACTAGTGCCACCACTCAAGATGATTCCTGCCCCACCCGACAAATATTTAAGGATGTCACACCAGTCCCGTGTACACAATATTAAGACAATAAATTGCATCATCATCTTTCTAGTAATTGACCGGAAACCAATTTTCATTTTCAGTTACAGTGACCTTGAACCAAAAAGTCAAAAATGCAATCCAAAGGCTAGACCTACAAAAAAGATTGTTACATATGAAATTTGAGTACAAAAGTTTTGACTTTAGTATCAAGAAACTATTTTTCTATATCAGTTACAGTGACCTTGACCCTCGGTGTTCAAACTAGAACTACCACTGTCATGGGGTGAATACCCCCGCATACCGCTTTGTCAGAATCAACAGTGGTCATTTAGAACTTAACGACAACCTCCCTGCCAAAGCATAGGCTGGTAAGCCAGTGCATTGCTATGTTTTTGTGGCAAAGACCTAATTGACCTTGACCTTTGACCTACTGACCTCAAAATTAAAACTGCTACTGCATAACTAGAATATCCTACCCTATTCATACAGCTTTGCTTGGATGTGTTTTGTGATGAATATATGAGAACATAATTATATGCTTCAAATGTTAAAATGTAAAAATAATAACACTGTGGACAGGCATTCTTAAGCATTTGAGCAGACAAGCTTATTGTAGTAAAAGCCCCTTTGACCTTAACCTTTGACAGTCACCTAAAAATCAATAGGGATCATCTACTAGTCATAACCAACCTGTAATGAAAACTGTGGATCAAATGATTCTTAAGTTACTGGGCGGACAAGCGTTTTTAAGTCAAGGCTTCTGTGACCTTGATATTTGAACCAGTGGCTTCCAGAACAAGATGGGTCATCTAATAATCATGACTAACCTCCATGCTAAATATGAACAATGTTGATCAAAGTATTCTTAAGTTATTGGGTGGACGACAACCTGATTCCAGTTTCTACAGGGATATAAAAACATTCCAAAACAAGGTCTTTACTGAAGCTTGCTTTATACCTAGTTTGATTACAATAAATTATTCATTACTATAGAATTTATCCTCTATTTTACCATCTGGTGGCCATTTTGTTTAGATAAACCTAACAAATTAAGCAATTCTGGTGCAGGACCATGCTGATGAGTAAATGTCATTAAACATTTTATATCTATAATTCAATCAAACCAAGCATACAAAATTTTCAATTTTTCCTTGTTGGGCTTTTTTTAAGGGATTCTGTTTTTTCTATGAATTATAAGAGCCGTATTGGGCTTTTTTAAGGGATTCTGTTTTTCTCTAAGAATTACATGAGCGTGTTGGGCTTTTTTAAGGAATTCTGTTTTTTGTATGAATTACATGAGCCGTGATGGGCTTTGTTAAGGGATTCTGTTTTTTCAATGAATTATATGTGCAATTTTAGTACAGGACCATCATCTAACGATCATTTTTAATTAAAACTTCGAATAGCAATTAAGGAGAATGTCATTTGAAGCTTAATTCTAATTTAAGCTTTGGCTTCAACAAACCGGAACCATTTGAGCAGTTATTGGAAAACTTACAAACTACCTTATAATTACTGTTGCACACGTTTATAAGAGGTTTATAAGAAGATCGAAATGGCCCTATATTGCTCACCTGAGAAACACTGTTCAAGAATATATTATAATACTAAAGTGAGCTAACAAGTGTCACTGAATAAAACAAGAACCATCGTTAGAAAAAGACAGATGACCCCCTAAGTAGGGCCCAGTAGAAATACCATGATCTTTAACATGCATCAAAAGCATGCTAACTATTAAAAAAGAGTAACAAGAATATATAGAGAACAATTACTTTTTCATAGTACTGTGAGCCAAATTATTTAAAACAAACATCAACGAATAAATGACAAATATGACCAGACACAACCTTCAATGTACTATTTTTGACATTCAATGATACTCTTTACCTTGTAAACTGTCAACCTGGCATTTTTGCGAATGACAAGTTTATCTTATGTGCCACAAAAGTATGACTAGCTATTTCAACACACATTAATGAATGACCAAATTGATGACTTGATATAACCATTGAATTATTTTTATGAAGAAAGAATCAGCATGAACTAAATCTTTAAGTTACAGACAAACCAAGAAGATTGCATTTGTGAAAAGTGCTGTCCGACCGCATAATACAACACTAAATAATAATGTAGGAACATATTTTTTGTTTCTATACACTTGAAGATTTCCATAATGCATAGATCACTGACCTATCAAATTGTTACTATCAGATTAGTGGTTGAATCTCTTGTTATTCAAATAAAAGATCAGAATAGGAATGCAGTCGAGTCTAGTAAATTTGGTGGTGATGTCATATTACACATGACCCAAATTCCATGACTGTACATCAAAGGACAACACAGTAAGACACTTTGTCAAAATCTAGGCCAGCTGATATCAAAGTTCACTTTACATACTAATCTGTGCACATGGTTTAAATTATATAGCTGCACATCAAAGGACAAGAAAGAATGTCACATCATCGAAATCTAGGTCACCTGATATCGAAGTTCAATTTTACAACTAAAACTATACACATAGTCCAAATTTCATGACTGTACATCAAAGGACAAGAAAGTAGGGCACTGTCCCCTTGGGCATGGAAAAACTTTGACCCAAGGGTTTAATTCAAACAATCTTGATACAAGTCCAACACACAACATTTCATGTCAAATATTTAAGCTATAGCTTTCTCCAATTCAGAAAACATTTGTTTAAGTTTCTGTTTTTACTAAAAGTACATAATGAAAATCAATGCCCCCGGGCAGGGCAAATTTTGACACCAGGGGCAAAATTTGAACAAATTTAGTAGAGGACCTGTGGATAATATTATAAGCAAGCATCAAAGCTCTAAGCCTTGTACCTTCAGACAATAGGATTTTTTTAATGTTTTACTATATGTACATAGTTAAAATCAATGACCCCGGGGAGGGGCCAATTTTGAAACCAGGGCTAAAATTTGAACAATCTTGGAAGAGGTTAACTACACAAAGTCTTGTTCAAATATCTAACCTCTAGCCTTTGTCAATTTAGAGAAGAAGATATTTCAAGTTTTTACTATTTACATATAAGGAAAACTATCGCCTCTGGGGCAGGGCAAATTTAAACACTAGGGGCATAATTTAAACAACTTTGGTAGAGGACCCATAGATGATATTATATACATAATATTAAAGCTCTAAGCCTTGCACCTTCAAACGATAATATTTTTAATGTATTCTATATTAACATAGTAACTGAAAATCAATGACCCCCATGGCGGGGCCAATTTTGACCCTGGGGCTATAATTTGAACAGTCTTGCTAGAGGTTCACTACACAATGTTCCATGCAAAATATCTAACCTTTTGCCTTTGCAATTTTGAGAACATGATTTTTTTAAAGTTTTTACTACATACATTTAAGGAAAACCTATGACCATCCCGGGCCGGGGCTAATTTTTAACAACTTGGGAAGAGTACCTATAGATGATATCATATACCAAATATCAAAGCTCTAAGCATTGTATCCTTTGTCAAGAAGGTATTTTAAGATTTAACTATATGTACATAAAGTGTAAATCAATGACCCCCGGGGCGGGGCCAATTTTGATCTCAGGGCTATAATTTGAAAACTTTTGGTAGACTCTGTCTACCAGACAATGTCTTATGCAAAATATCTATGCTCTAGGCCTTGTGGGTCAATATATATATATATACTGATGCTAAGTCATTGCATAATCTGACACTGAATGACATGGACTGGGTATTAATGCACAATCATATCATGATTTTTGAAGTTCAAGTATAAATATGACCTTTGGGGTGCTGAGTATAATTTTGT